GTGGCCATTTCTGATATTACACCACGTTTTGATAAACTTTGTTCTCAAAAGCAGGCCCATCCATCACACTGAACTTTGACATTTAAATGTTTAATTTAAATACTTGTTAGTTAAATATCGTTTCATTTCAATACATATTTTGGTTAATTGCAAGTGTTAAAACTAATTTTTATTGTAGGCCTAGTATTGTGCTANTTGTGATACTTTAATTTTGAGTAAGAAAACTGCTAAATAGTATGTAGAAAAACACAAAATAAACTGAATGAAATGTCAAACATACCATGACTTCTATTTTGATAAAAAAAACAGGCTAGGGGCCTGAGAGTATTTTCTCTTGTCAGGGGAGGCTCAGAAGTAAAAAGTTTGAGAACCACTGATTTAACCCATTTTGTTTCTTGCTTCACAATAGAGGGCACTCAAATTCTTGCTTTGTTGCATCTTGAAGAAGTCTGCACTTTTCTTTTGGGAAGCTTTGCCATGTTTGTTGCTCATTTTGCACTACCCAGGGGACACACACAGTGTGCAGTTATTTATGCTGTCTACCTTAGGTTACAATGGCTTCAACTTGTTCCAATATTTCTGCACTTACATGCCATCTACAGGGGATGGACAAAAATATGGAAACACCTTGTGAAATGCATGCCTGAATTGAAGTGTTTATTTTAGCGACGTTTGTAGTTAACGTTGTCTTATCTGCCCAATACCACTACCTGTACAACCTCCGCAATATGTTGCAAGCTTCATCTGTTGTCGAGACAGTGTTCTGTGCAGTTTTTAGTGCAGCATGTCAGAGCTAACAGAATTCGAATGTGGGCAAATTGTTGGGGCCCATATGGTGGGTGCTTCCGTAACCAAAGTAGCCGAGGTTTTTGGTGTTTCGCGAGGCACATTATCCAAGATTATGACCTCATACAGGAGGACTGGAAAAACCGCATCCGATAAACACCAGCGTGGATGGAAATGTCTCTTGAGTGTTCGAGACAGATGAACACTGCGTACGACTGTGACGAAAAATAAGACTACAGCTGCAAAAGTGACTGCTGAACTGAATGTCACACTCACAAACCCTGTCAGCACCAAAACAGTATGAAGGGAACTCCACAAGCAGGGTATTTCTGGATGAGCTGTAATTCCAAAGTCACTCATCAGTGATCAAAATGCCACTAAGAAGAGAGTGTGCTGCCAGAGTCATAAAATCTGGACTATGGAGCAATGGAAGATGGTCATTTGGTCAGATGAATCCACCTTCACACTGTTTCCGACTTCTGGCTGAGTTTACATCTGGAGAACGCCATCCCAAGCTTACGATCCAGATTGTTTGCTGCCAAGAGTGAAACATGGCTGGGGTTCGATCATGGTATGGGCAGACATATCGTGGTATCCTGTCAGACCCATCACTACCCTGCAAGGTCACGTCACTGCCAACGACTATGTGACCATTTTGGGTGACCAGGTCTATCCCATGATGCAAATTTTGTTCCCCAATGGTGATGCCATTTACCAAGACGACAGTGCCCGTGTTCACACAGTTCACATCATCCAGGACTGGTTTTCTGAGCACGAATATGAAGTGTCAGGTCTGCCATGGCCCCCACAATTGCCAAATATCATTATTATTGAGCCTTTGTGGTCTGTTTTGGAGAGCAATCTGTGTGCGTGCTATCCACATCCATCATTGTTAACAGAACTTGCCAATGTTTTGCAGGAAGAATGGTACAAGATTCCCTTGCAAATCATACAGGACCTCTATTTATCCATTCCAAGAAGACTGCAGGCAGTTCTGCAAGCCTGAGGTTGTCCTACACCATATTAGTCACGGTAATGTGTTTTTTGTTGCGAGTTTCCATATTTTTGTCCAGCCCCTGTATATAGGAAAGAGTGGAACTACTGTATTAACACACCCACAGAAGAAGTCAGTACATAAAACAAAAGATAACCTTACTGATGAAAGTTTCAGAGAATAGAGCCACTCTGATGGAACACAATAATACGACAGCGTCTCTCAGCATCTTAAGAACTCTCAATGTTTTGAACAAAATGTTATGCAAAATACAGCAAAACATAATCCACAATCTATTTACATAAATATATTTAATGATGAAAGAAGTTCTTCATAAATGATGCATTAATATTGCTCAAGTACAGAGGTAATTATAGTTGCATCTGACATGACAGTTACCTAAGAAAGGTTGCATACTGATAGCGCAGCTCAGGGATGGCTAACCCACACATTTCAAGGATGACAGTCCAAAGCAGAAAATATGCCATTGTATAGGTATGGGCATCAGTAAATGGACACACTGTGCAACTATTCCCAAACGAATACCCAGTAGCATGGTGTCCACAACAGTTTGCATCTGCTGTACAGAGTTCTGCAACTTTGCTAGGCTCAGTCCATCACAGTCTTTATCCACAGCAGCAGCAAATGCTGCAGGTGTGTCCAAGTTAATCAATCCTGGGACCAGTCTGAAACACAGCAATATGTTAATACAACTGCGAAGTCCAACAGAAATAACATGAAGAACTTAAGGTAATTACTTTCCTTTGTAAGGCAGTACTATTATTTATGTCAAAGTCATGGAATGAAGAAACTTGAACTAATACTCAAACTGAAATAGTCTGCTTAGACCAGTGTAGGGCTCTAAAAAACTCCCAGACCTTACTCAGACACCCTCACAGCTCACTGTAACAAGTGGCTAGCATCTCGTCAAATGGCATGCATGTATACATGTCGGCACATGCATTATGAAGACATGGAGAAATGGAGGCATTCACACATTCTTAATTTCAATGCAAGATAGAGCTGACAGCTTAGCTTCATGCTTCAGCTGTTTTAACCTTTGGAACAGAACTACTGGTATCCACTGGATATGAAACAAGGGACTCCAGAGCCAGTATGAACATAATGACAAAGAAGAAAAAATCTTTACTTCTTACTCTTGTCAGGGATCACACCCAAGCCAACCACTGGACCATCCTGGCTCTGTCACCAGAATAAAAGAATAACAAGAACAAGAATGAAATCACAGTCCAAAATGTCTAGAATAATCTTGGATAAGTGAATATAGAAAAATCTAAACCCATAGTTTCACCTGGTTAATATATGATAAGCTGTGAGCTGAAGTGGAATCACAGAAGAATGTAGTAGTTCACAGCAGCACTGCATTACTGCATCAGGAGCTAAATCACCAATTGTGCAGTCAGATTGGAAAAAGTAATCTGGATCAATCCGTAGCATCATGTCTCCCACACTTTCCAACAGTGGAAGATCAAGGAGAGACAAAGAATTAGTTTCCACCATACTGTGACATGTTGACCCCTACCTTCCCAGCGGTACGTGGCGGTAACGTAACGCTCGCGTTCTTACGGTAATAGGCGAGTTCCCGCCCCGCCACTCCCCTCCGCCGTGACGTCACCGAGGGATATCGCGGTCACTAGGCAACGCGAGTCAACAGCGGCGACGTTACGATAGTAACAGCGGTTACCTCCGCTAGCGTTACATAGCAACACAGCGCCAGGCAAAAAGGGTGCCTATTACGCGGCCGTTTTCCGTATGGTCCGATCGAGGCTACATGAGGCGCAGCGAAGGCTATTCANAATGTTGGAGGTGGGAGTCTGTTCCTCACTCTAATCTTCAAAACTGACCATAGTGGTTCAGTGATGTTCAAATCTAGTGATCGTGCGGGTCAGGGAAGATGTAGGAGTTCATCTTCATGTTCTTCACACGATGACTGAACAGTTTCAGCTGTGTGAATGGGGGCATTTTCATCTTGGAAAACTGTATTGTTTTTCAGAAATAATGTCTGGATCATGGGATGCACCTGATTACTCAAACTGTTCATGTACCCCCTTGCAGTAATTCAGCCATGAAGGGTAATAATGGGAGCAACAGAATACCATGATACTGTTGGAAACTTTTGCTCTTGATACACTTAATAATGTGGCAGTTTTTGTCACAGATGCTCCAGCTAAATGTGCACCAACAATCTGTCCACTTTCAAAATCGGACAGGTCTCCCAATTTTTTATTCTTTCACATATACTGTCACTCAACACAATCACTAATGCACTGGCATGAGTACTACAGAGTGTAAATAAACAGAAAAAGAACATTCAGTGTTGCCAACTGAAGCTCTTTCAGTATACCCCACACAAATTCTGTTCCTCTGTTTCTTAGTGTTTCCATTATTTTGTCCGCCCCCTGTGTAATGTGAAAGTGTGGACCTCATTGAACTGACTCAGGAGAGGGTCCATTGACAGGCTCTTGTGAACACAGGAATGAACTTCTGGAATTTGTAAAGGCAAAGAATTCTGTGACCAGCAGAGTGGATGTGAGCTTATCTAGGATGAATCATTTCCATGGAATCTTTGTGTTCTAAGAGTATAACTTAACAACAAAAAGTACATCCAAATATATTAACATCCAAGTGTCCAACTGGCATACATCATATTTGCAGACAATATTCTTTTGTTATAGATATTTCAGTCCTCTCTAAAGTCAGAAGATATGAGGCCAGATATGGTAACAATGGATAGGGAGAAACTGGTAATGGTGACATTCTGGCTGAATCATATTATGTTGACTGCATTCTTAGTTTCCTCAATTCTGTCCTCATTTGGTATGAGCGGGAGGACAAAACTGACTTATTATTTGACTGGTAAGTGACATGCAGTTGATATTTTTGCTTTTGCTGAATATGTATTTACTATAAAACAGTCCATGAATAGGGATGATTAAGAAAGAGGATGTCGATGTAATAGTGTGAGAACAGGTATGAGTAAAAAACACTGTGAAGAGAACTGGAGTTTTGAAGATATAAAACTTATTTCCATTCACATTTCTGCCGAAAAGGAACGAAAAAGAAAGCCACTGGGATGACCTTCTGAAAGAAGTAATTTAATTAGAATTGTTTCATTTTGGTCTGTCACACTAATATTATGAAAAAGTTAAATAGTTCCATTCAGTGTGACTGGTTATGATTTTCTTATTTCAATTATTCATGCCCTTACATGTTTCGGTCTTCACAGACCATCTTCAGAGGGACACCCTTTACATCAATACAGTTAGAAACCACTATTACAGTACATGTTCTAAAAGTTAAAATATATACATAGAATATAAATAATATATAATTGGCTGTAAAACCTAAAGTCTTTACAACTACAGCAGCTGTTACAATACTTTAAAATATTTATAGTTAGTTTGTTAAGATTCTATTGGAATTTGTAAACCAAGCTGGTTCATGTTGTCCCTCTTATTATTTCTTTTTAAGGGGGCCAAACGTGTGCCACCTTGTCATTCTCGAGAAGAGGGTTCTGCAAATATATTATGGGTATATTGTATTATTTCATCAATCCTATTATGTTTTGTAAAGACTTTTGTTACTTTGTCCTACCTTTAATGTTGTCCTGTATGTGTCTGTGGCCCGCTCTGTTGCTTTTACTGTTCTAGGTTGTGTTGTACCGCGTATTTATATTCCTTGTGTCTGTGACGTTAGTGTGGGCGTGTACTGATGTTGTATTATGAGGTCGAATATGATATACTGGTTGTCACTTTCCTTTGTGTGTTTTTGTTCTTCTATCAATTTGTTGAGCTTATTAAAGCGATATATAGGGTGGCAAGAGTATCCCTCTCAAGATGGTCTCTGAAGACCGAAACATGTAAGGCCATGAATAACTGAAATAAGAAAATCATAACCAGTCACACTGAACAGAACTATTTAACTTTTTCATAATATTAGTGTGACAGACCAAAATGAAACAATTCTAATTAAATTACTTCTTTCAGAAGGTCATCCCAGTGGCTTTCTTTTTCGTTCCTTTTCGGCAGAAATGTGAATGGAAATAAGTTTTATATCTTCAAAACTCCAGTTCTCTTCACAGTGTTTTTTACTCATACCTGTTCTCACACTATTACATCGACATCCTCTTTCTTAATCATCCCTATTCATGGACTGTTTTATAGTAAATACATATTCAGCAAAAGCAAAAATATCAACTGCATGTCACTTACCAGTCAAATAATAAGTCAGTTTTGTCCTCCCGCTCATACCAAATGAGGACAGAATTGAGGAAACTAAGAATGCAGTCAACATAATATGATTCAGCCAGAATGTCACCATTACCAGTTTCTCCCTATCCATTGTTACCATATCTGGCCTCATATCTTCTGACTTTAGAGAGGACTGAAATATCTATAACAAAAGAATATTGTCTGCAAATATGATGTATGCCAGTTGGACACTTGGATGTTAATATATTTGGATGTACTTTTTGTTGTTAAGTTATACTCTTAGAACACAAAGATTCCATGGAAATGATTCATCCTAGATAAGCTCACATCCACTCTGCTGGTCACAGAATTCTTTGCCTTTACAAATTCCAGAAGTTCATTCCTGTGTTCACAAGAGCCTGTCAATGGACCCTCTCCTGAGTCAGTTCAATGAGGTCCACACTTTCACATTACACAGGGGGCGGACAAAATAATGGAAACACTAAGAAACAGAGGAACAGAATTTGTGTGGGGTATACTGAAAGAGCTTCAGTTGGCAACACTGAATGTTCTTTTTCTGTTTATTTACACTCTGTAGTACTCATGCCAGTGCATTAGTGATTATGTTGAGTGACAGTATATGTGAAAGAATAAAAAATTGGGAGACCTGTCCGATTTTGAAAGTGGACAGATTGTTGGTGCACATTTAGCTGGAGCATCTGTGACAAAAACTGCCACATTATTAAGTGTATCAAGAGCAAAAGTTTCCAACAGTATCATGGTATTCTGTTGCTCCCATTATTACCCTTCATGGCTGAATTACTGCAAGGGGGTACATGAACAGTTTGAGTAATCAGGTGCATCCCATGATCCAGACTATTTCTGAAAAACAATGCAGTTTTCCAAGATGAAAATGCCCCCATTCACACAGCTGAAACTGTTCAGTCATCGTGTGAAGAACATGAAGATGAACTCCTACATCTTACCTGACCCGCACGATCACTAGATTTGAACATCACTGAACCACTATGGTCAGTTTTGAAGATTAGAGTGAGGAACAGACTCTCACCTCCAACATTTCTAAAGCAACTTGAAGATGTTCTTCAAGAAAAAATAGTATAAAATTCTGCTAGAGACTGTTTGAAACTTGTATGAGTCCCTTCTAAGGGCTGCGGCTGCACTGAAGGCAAAAGGTGGTCCAACACCATATTAATAAAGGAACATGTACACTATCTGTGATGTTTCCAATATTGTCTTCAACACTTATATTTCTTTACGATCCATATTAATATCAATATCCTATTTATACCTAGGCCTCCAAACGTCTCTGACCTTGATTTTTTCTGACTTAATACTCGTATTTTGCTTGTACTTCTCATCTCCCATATGTGGGCTACATGTCTGGTCCATCCCATATTACTTCATTTGCTTACCCTAATATTTGGTATTATAAAATAAAAGTATGGTATGACATTCAGCTGATGCAGTACCTCTGATATGTGAATAGTTCCAGTGCTGTCAGATCCATCATTTGATGAAACATCTAAATACAGGTCATGCAGATCTATTTGTTTCAGCACTCATGTGTGCAAGAGGGACAACCATAAGCTTCCACAGTGTAATGCCCTGGAAACAACACTGTTATATGCTGGGACAGTTCACATAAATAATATGCAAATAAATTTACAATACTAACTTGTATGTGCAAACTGTACAGATTATACAAAATAAATGCAGTGTGTAGGGTGTGTCTGACTTTTGAAATTACTAAATGGATGCAAACAAAATTTGTTGCTGGGGAGGTCTCACGGTGGAAGCTGTAAGAGATCTAATTTTTGTCCATATTATATCTTTACATCAGTGTTTCCCAAAGGAGGTAATTTTTAGTCTACCTACATATGGTTTTACAACATGTTAAAACATTTCTGCTTGTGAAAGGGGAGGGCTCAAGAAGAAAAACCCTTGTCTCTGGTGGAAATGTGAACAGCCAGCTTCTACTGTGTCCTAGTGGTTCTAAAACGTTTCACATATCTGACAGCAAGCACACAAATGCCAAAAATCATAAACAAGAAACAAGTTTCTGGATCCTTCTGTATGTAAGTAAGAATTACTTCATCCATTAGAAATTTAAGAGACACAATTCAATAGTCAGGTGACCAGTGTTCCACGTAAGCCATGACAGTGACTGGCTGGATGACCTAGGGGTCAGAGTTCGAGTCCCAGTAGGGTCAAGAATTTTCACTTCTCCATGTCTTCCAGACTGCGTCTGGGGTCCAAACAACCTTCTGTCCAATGAGTTTTGAGGTCTCTTTCCCCAGGAGGTAAAGAGGCCAGGACGTGAAGCAGACCACTTACCTCCAACTAGTGCCAAGGTCAAGAAAAATGTGGATCTATACAGCCACTCCCCCATACACCTTCATGGTGCTTAATTAGTTAAAAACAGGGACAACCTTACCTTACCTTACCAGTGTTTCAGTTTTGGTTTTACTGTCATGGGCCTACAATGCACGCAGCCACATAAGAAAGACACATCATAAGAAACAGTATATACACGATTAAAACATAAGAAGAACGACTCCCATAGCAGATGAATGGCATTACACAAGAGTTTGATATGTGACATGTAAGATAATTGATCTTGGCAAGTTTTAATATATAAATTTTAAAATTTTATTATTGAACGACGACAAACTACATTTAATCTTACAGTGTTCTCATCATAACTGCAATTGAAGACTGATACAATGGTCTCCACATGGGTTATTAAATATAAAAATAGCTATGATAAGACAATGTCATTTGGGGTTAAACATTACTCTTCTGTGCCACAGCAGATCTATTTGACACTCACAACAATGCGAAGTTGTAATGAATTAACTCCTCTGAAGCTTCAAATAATTCCAATATTTGCAAGCAGTAAAGAATTACCATTCTGCAATGCTGACAGGTATATTAAGCTAGATGGAAAGGATACTGAAAGGTCAAAGCAAGTACTGCATTCCTCCCATCAACAATCTTTATTTTTCAGCAAATAAAATAAGTCTTAAAAGAAAAAAACAAAAAACAAGAGAGACTTGTAAACATACCTTTTTGCAGCGATATGAGTGATGTTTTTCACTTCCTTGGCATCAAAAGCAAGCATCAGGAGTTTAAATCGTTCATTTAAAATATCATACTTTGAAAATATCTTGTAGTAATACACGGACTGAAAAAAGGAACAGGATAAAAAAGTGAAATTTTAAGTAAACTTAGAAAATTCTTCACTTATTTGCTACTTTATATAGCATTATCTGGAATTCCAAGAAGTAGATTTCTCTTTTAAAAGCTGAGTGTCATTCAGCTGTCAAGAAACATTCTGGCTATATTGAACCCAAGGGTTCATTGCTTATTACCATCTTCGCAAGCGCCTGCCACTGGACCCTACCTTGAGAGTTTAACCTGCCAACATCGTCACACCTCATTTTTTAAGTTTCATTTAAATTTATTGTTCCATCTATGTCTAGATCCCCCAAGTGTTCTCCTCCCTTCAGGATATCCAACTAAATTCTTGTATGGATTTATCATCTCCCCATGCAGCCTGCATGCCCCACACACATAATTCTCATTGATTTGATCACATACTCATAATATTCGCTGAAGTGTAAAAATTACAAAGCTCCTCATTATGTAATTTTCTTTATACTCCTTACAATTTTCCTTTTCTCAAACAATTTTTTTCTATTTTCACCCTTAGGGTACTTCATAATTATTATCAAGAACAGATATGGCACGTTTTATGGATCTGCAGCTTTCAATATTTCCCACCTAGAAGACATGTTAAGTGGAAAAGTACTGATATGCAAAGGTACTTGTTACTTAAGAAAAGGCTTGGTGGTATATGTGTAAAAGTGACAAAGGAATTACTTGCAGGCATTAATTCCAGTCTGGATGCATATAATTCAGATATGGTATCAGGGGCACACAGTAGCATAGTTGGTTGAGGGGCTATGCTACAAGCTGTAAGGTCACAGGTTCAAGTCCCGATGAGGTCATTGGAATATTTTCAATTGACCTAATCCTTCCAGCCGCACTATGGCCCTGGCGTTCTCTCAGCCTCTAACAGAAACGAGTACCAAGAATTAATTAAATAAGTTTCCTGGGGAGTAAGGTGCAGCCAACGTGAAAGACTGACAACCTTACCACCATCTTTGAGCCGATTGTCTAGATAATGTGGGAGCCTCAATGTCTCACAACCCAATGGGCCTTCACAGCCTGGTACAGAGATAGCTTTACTTACTTTTATTTTACTATATAAATCAAGAAGTCAGAAATAACAGCAATAGCTATGAGACTGTTTTAGTTATGAGCAAACAACATTTGTTCTTAACTCACACACTGAAGTCAGTGTCAAGAAAATCAGGCTATTTTCATAATAGCGATGACATAATGGTGATGGTATATCAAGTGTAAATATTACCATAGGTCCCCTGATCATTCCTCCTCCCTCATTCCCTCCTTAATGTAAGTATTCACATTAGATAAGGAACTAATCCTATGTTTCTTAAAACTGGCTAGAAACCAGAATGAGAAAGTCATTTAGGTATGATGATCCTCCTCCATGTGCTTTGATGTCATGTTGATCTTGAATCAAATTCATATAACAACTGATACTTTTATTTAGTTTATGAATCATTTAACAAACCTGAAATAAATACTGAACTTCACACCTAAAATGAATTAGGTACAACATAAGTCTGTACAAGTCAGCATTTTGCATGTACTATGGAACTGAAAGCATAACTTATGAGAAAGAAGTTAAGACAATACAAACTTTTAAGTAGTAAATATCCTTGAGAAAGAGACTGAATACTATATCAAAAGACTCACACTCTTGTAATGTCTGATGAAGGACTCACACACTGCTATGGAATAAAGAGCTGTCAGAAGGTGATCCTCCAACAGACAAACATCACTGAATGATATTTTCCCCATAAAATCTTCTTGCTCTGAATCAACCTTTATCTCCTCTTCGTCCCTTTTGTTCAAACTTCCAGGTAACTTTGAAATTAGTGTAACTGAGAAAATTAATAATATTATATACTGAACAATTTCCTCCTCTGATTCAACTGCATCTTCTCCATCAATGCATGATTTCCCAGTACTCTGGTGGTTTTCATCAAGCAGATATTTTGTCTGTAAATGTTTGATGTTAACATTCAGCAGACCTTTCAAATTTTCTGCATACAGACAAACAGCTGTTAGCTTGTGTTCCCTAGTAGCAAGCTTAGAGGACATACAGTTGAGGAATATTAAACAAAGTTTAAGTACAGTTGATGAAATGGATGCATGATCATTATCAGCTTGGAAGCACCTTGCAGCTGCATGAAGGAAAGACATGACTGTAACCACAGTGTGGTCAACTGATGCAACTGATACGTCCTCCCTGCAATGAAAACAACTTCATTTAGAATCCAAAACATAAAATTTAACCATTTTGTTCAGAATCATTAATTTTCACATCTCCTTTCTAAACACCTAAGATTAAATTAAAGATATAAAACTGTAATTTTACCTTTTGCTTTGTACGACTGTGAAATCAGTCACATTATAAAGGAAGAACATCCTTGTACATTGAGTGTGTTTGGGAACAAAGTGTTAAGGAGATTATTTGGACCTAACTATGAAGAGTACTATGGCCTGGGATGTGACAACNTCTGGTGGAAATGTGAACAGCCAGCTTCTACTGTGTCCTAGTGGTTCTAAAACGTTTCACATATCTGACAGCAAGCACACAAATGCCAAAAATCAGAAACAAGGAACAAGTTTCTGGATCCTTCTGTATGTAAGAATTACTTCATCCATTAGAAATTTAAGAGATACAATTCAATAGTCAGGTGACCAGTGTTCCACGTAAGCCATGACAGTGACTGGCTGGATGACCTAGGGGTCAGAGTTCGAGTCCCAGTAGGGTCAAGAATTTTCACTTCTCCATGTCTTCCAGACTGCGTCTGGGGTCCAAACAACCTTCTGTCCAATGAGTTTTGAGGTCTCTTTCCCCAGGAGGTAAAGAGGCCAGGACGTGAAGCAGACCACTTACCTCCAACTAGTGCCTAGGTCAAGAAAAATGTGGATCTATACAGCCACTCCCCCATACACCTTCATGGTGCTTAATTAGTTAAAAACAGGGACAACCTTACCTTACCTTACCAGTGTTTCAGTTTTGGTTTTACTGTCATGGGCCTACAATGCACGCAGCCACATAAGAAAGACACATCATAAGAAACAGTATATACACGATTAAAACATAAGAAGGACTCCCATAGCAGATGAATGGCATTACACAAGAGTTTGATATGTGACATGTAAGATAATTGATCTTGGCAAGTTTTAATATATAAATTTTAAAATTTTATTATTGAACGACGACAAACTACATTTAATCTTACAGTGTTCTCATCATAACTGCAATTGAAGACTGATACAATGGTCTCTACATGGGTTATTAAATATAAAAATAGCTATGATAAGACAATGTCATTTGGGGTTAAACATTACTCTTCTGTGCCACAGCAGATCTATTTGACACTCACAACAATGCGAAGTTGTAATGAATTAACTCCTCTGAAGCTTCAAATAATTCCAATATTTGCAAGCAGTAAAGAATTACCATTCTGCAATGCTGACAGGTATATTAAGCTAGATGGAAAGGATACTGAAAGGTCAAAGCAAGTACTGCATTCCTCCCATCAACAATCTTTATTTTTCAGCAAATAAAATAAGTCTTAAAACAAAAAAACAAAAAACAAGAGAGACTTGTAAACATACCTTTTTGCAGCGATATGAGTGATGTTTTTCACTTCCTTGGCATCAAAAGCAAGCATCAGGAGTTTAAATCGTTCATTTAAAATATCATACTTTGAAAATATCTTGTAGTAATACACGGACTGAAAAAAGGAACAGGATAAAAAAGTGAAATTTTAAGTAAACTTAGAAAATTCTTCACTTATTTGCTACTTTATATAGCATTATCTGGAATTCCAAGAAGTAGATTTCTCTTTTAAAAGCTGAGTGTCATTCAGCTGTCAAGAAACATTCTGGCTATATTGAACCCAAGGGTTCATTGCTTATTACCATCTTCGCAAGCGCCTGCCACTGGACCCTACCTTGAGAGTTTAACCTGCCAACATCGTCACACCTCATTTTTTAAGTTTCATTTAAATTTATTGTTCCATCTATGTCTAGATCCCCCAAGTGTTCTCCTCCCTTCAGGATATCCAACTAAATTCTTGTATGGATTTATCATCTCCCCATGCAGCCTGCATGCCCCACACACATAATTCTCATTGATTTGATCACATACTCATAATATTCGCTGAAGTGTAAAAATTACAAAGCTCCTCATTATGTAATTTTCTTTATACTCCTTACAATTTTCCTTTTCTCAAACAATTTTTTTCTATTTTCACCCTTAGGGTACTTCATAATTATTATCAAGAACAGATATGGCACGTTTTATGGATCTGCAGCTTTCAATATTTCCCACCTAGAAGACATGTTAAGTGGAAAAGTACTGATATGCAAAGGTACTTGTTACTTAAGAAAAGGCTTGGTGGTATATGTGTAAAAGTGACAAAGGAATTACTTGCAGGCATTAATTCCAGTCTGGATGCATATAATTCAGATATGGTATCAGGGGCACACAGTAGCATAGTTGGTTGAGGGGCTATGCTACAAGCTGTAAGGTCACAGGTTCAAGTCCCGATGAGGTCATTGGAATATTTTCAATTGACCTAATCCTTCCAGCCGCACTATGGCCCTGGCGTTCTCTCAGCCTCTAACAGAAACGAGTACCAAGAATTAATTAAATAAGTTTCCTGGGGAGTAAGGTGCAGCCAACGTGAAAGACTGACAACCTTACCACCATCTTTGAGCCGATTGTCTAGATAATGTGGGAGCCTCAATGTCTCACAACCCAATGGGCCTTCACAGCCTGGTACAGAGATAGCTTTACTTACTTTTATTTTACTATATAAATCAAGAAGTCAGAAATAACAGCAATAGCTATGAGACTGTTTTAGTTATGAGCAAACAACATTTGTTCTTAACTCACACACTGAAGTCAGTGTCAAGAAAATCAGGCTATTTTCATAATAGCGATGACATAATGGTGATGGTATATCAAGTGTAAATATTACCATAGGTCCCCTGATCATTCCTCCTCCCTCATTCCCTCCTTAATGTAAGTATTCACATTAGATAAGGAACTAATCCTATGTTTCTTAAAACTGGCTAGAAACCAGAATGAGAAAGTCATTTAGGTATGATGATCCTCCTCCATGTGCTTTGATGTCATGTTGATCTTGAATCAAATTCATATAACAACTGATACTTTTATTTAGTTTATGAATCATTTAACAAACCTGAAATAAATACTGAACTTCACACCTAAAATGAATTAGGTACAACATAAGTCTGTACAAGTCAGCATTTTGCATGTACTATGGAACTGAAAGCATAACTTATGAGAAAGAAGTTAAGACAATACAAACTTTTAAGTAGTAAATATCCTTGAGAAAGAGACTGAATACTATATCAAAAGACTCACACTCTTGTAATGTCTGATGAAGGACTCACACACTGCTATGGAATAAAGAGCTGTCAGAAGGTGATCCTCCAACAGACAAACATCACTGAATGATATTTTCCCCATAAAATCTTCTTGCTCTGAATCAACCTTTATCTCCTCTTCGTCCCTTTTGTTCAAACTTCCAGGTAACTNATGATCATTATCAGCTTGGAAGCACCTTGCAGCTGCATGAAGGAAAGACATGACTGTAACCACAGTGTGGTCAACTGATGCAACTGATACGTCCTCCCTGCAATGAAAACAACTTCATTTAGAATCCAAAACATAAAATTTAACCATTTTGTTCAGAATCATTAATTTTCACATCTCCTTTCTAAACACCTAAGATTAAATTAAAGATATAAAACTGTAATTTTACCTTTTGCTTTGTACGACTGTGAAATCAGTCACATTATAAAGGAAGAACATCCTTGTACATTGAGTGTGTTTGGGAACAAAGTGTTAAGGAGATTATTTGGACCTAACTATGAAGAGTACTATGGCCTGGGATGTGACAACATTTAGTCTGGTAGAACTTTACTGGTGTTTTGGAGAAATGCACTGCCTCCATCTTCAGGGTAAAAGAGTAATCATGAATGAAATCAAGCACTTTGCCTGCTGCTTCTGTGTTGAGGAGTAAGCAAAGTAAGCAAGCAGCAAGCAGCATTGCCTGGCTTATGCTTCCACCCTGACGATGAAGGCAATAGGTTTCTCCAAAAACACTGAAAATTTCTACCAGACTATACTACATCATATCCCACAAGAAAACACTCTTCAACTACATGTATCCATGCAGGACTGACTGACTGATTCTTACTTCCTTTAATAATGCTGCTTTAACTGCAAGGCTTATGTAGTATTAAACAGATAGGAAGATAACAATGGTAAAGTTAAAGGTAGAGCCATCCCTGTGACAGGCTGTAAAGACCCATAGGGTTGGGGGATGTCAAGGCTCCCACATTTTCTAGACAATGGGTTCACAGATGGTGGTGAGGTGTGGGCCTTACATGCCAGCCGCCCTTTACAGCCAGGAAGATTCCTGGTACTCATTTCTGCTAGAGGCTGAGTTGACCCCAGAGCCATAGTGCGGCTGGAAGGATGAGGTCAATTTAAAAATCCAGTGGCTTCATCACAAATCAAACGCATGACCTTCTGACTTGTAGCACAGTGCCTCAACCAACTTTGCTACCACATGCCTCAAGATAATAATGGACTGCTTAATAATCATAATAGCTTAGTGGTCTTCCTCCTCCTCCTTCCCTTCAGCCATCATTTTCTTACTTATTAAAAATTTTTAGGTTTTCTTGGTAATTCAGCCAGGAACATGGGATCTTTCTCATGGGGCTTAGGGGGACGCTAAAGGATAATACAGAAGTCATGGTCTTGGTTAAAAAGTATCA